TTCTTCTGGGTCTCCTACATGGGTTCAGGGGCTTTCCACTGCTTTCCCAGGCCATTGCAGAGAGCTGGATTGGAAGAGAAGCAGCCAGGTTTTGAACTGGTGCCCATATGGGATGCTGGCAATGCAGGCAGGTGGCGTCTTTACCCACTAAGCCACAGCACTGGCCCTGTGTTTTGTAATTTTCATCATAGTTATTTTTCACCTCCTTGGTTAAATTTATTCCAAGGCATTCAATTTTTTATAGCTGTTATGAATGAGACTGATGATACAAGTTCTTTCTCGGCCATGGCATTGTTCATGTATACACACTATGATTTTTGTGTGTTAATTTTATATTCTAAAACTTTACCAAACTCTTATGAGTTCCAATATTCTCTTAGTGGAGTCTTTTGGTTCCCCTATATATAGAATAATGTCTTCTGTGAACAGGGATAATTTGACTTCCTCCTTTCAATTTATCTCTTTGATTTCTTTTTCTTACCTGATAGTTCTGGCTAGAACTTCCAGGACTATCTTGAATAGCAATGGTGAAAGTGGGCATCCTAGTCTGGTTCTGGAAATTGGTTCTTAGTGGAAGTGCTTCCAACTTTTTCTCCATTCAGTATGATACTGATTGTGGATTTGTTATAAATTGCCTTTATTGTGTTGAGGAATGTGCCTTCTATACCCAATTTTCTTAAAATCTTTATTATGAAAGAATGCTGTATTTTATCAAATGCTTTCTCTGCATCTATTGAAATAATCATATATTTTTTATTCTTCAGTTTGTTAATGTGATGTATCACATTGATTTGTGTGTGTTGAACCATCCTTGCATACCAGAATTAAATCCCACTTTGCTGTGAATGATCATTCTGATGTGCTGTTGGATTAGATTAGCTAGTATTTTGTTGAGGATTTTTGCATCTGTGTTCATCAGGGATGTTGGGCTATAGTTCTGTTCTTTGCTGTACCTTTTTCTGATTTGGAATTAAGGTGATGCTGGCCTCATAGAAGGAATTTGGGAGGATTCCCTCTGTTTAAGTTGTTTTGAATAGATTGAGAAGAATTTGAATGAGTTCTTCTTTAAAAGTCTCATAGAATTCAGCAGTGAGGCCATCCAGTCCTGGGGTTTTCTTTGTTGGAAGGGTCTATATTATTGATTGAATCTCCATCTTGGTCATTGGTCAATTTAGGTTTTCTGTGAATCATGACTCAATTTTAGTAGATTATATGTGTCCAGGAATCCATTTCTTCTAAATTTTCCAATTTGTTGGTATATAGCTGTTTGTAGTAGTTCCTAATGATTTTTTTAAAAAAATATTTATTTACTTATTTGAAAGGAAGAGTTACAGAGAGGCAGAGAGAGAAAGAGAGAGCAAGTGACACGTTTCCATCCACTGGTTTATTCCCCAAATGGCTGCAATGGTCAGAGCTGGGCTTATCCGAAGCCAGGAGCCAGGAGCTTCTTCTTGGTCTCCAATGCAGGTCCAGGGACCTAAAGTCTTGGGCCATCTTCCACTGCTTTCCCAGGCCAGAGCTGAGAGCTGGAATGGAAGTGGATCGGAAGGGATTCAAACCAGTGCCCATATGCGATGCCGGCACTGCAGGCCACAGCTTCACCTGCTACTTCCACAGCACCAGCCTCCTTGATGATTCTTTTTACTTCTGTGGTATGTGTTACATCTCCTTTTTCATTGATGATTTTATTAATTTGTCTCCTCTTTTATTTTGTTGTTGGTTAGTTGGGCCAATCGTGTATCAATTTTATTTTTTTAAAAAACAGCTCTTCATTTCACTGATTTTTTTTTGTTTCAATTTTGTTTATTCTCTAATTTTAATTATTTCTTTCTTTTGAGTTTGGCTTGTTGTTTTTCTAGGTCCTCGAGGTGCACTGATAGCTCATTTATTTGATGCCTTCCAATTTCTTGATGTAGGCACCAATTGTTATAAAATTTCCTCTTAACACTGCTTGGGCTGTATCCTATACATTTTGATATGTTATATTGTCATCTTGATTTGTTTCCAGGAACTTTTTCATTTCCCTTTTTTCTGTGACCCACTCTGTATTCAGGAGTGTGTTGTTCATTCTCCATGTATTTACATATTTTCTAGAGATTCTTAAATTGTTGATTTCCAGCTACATTCCATTATGGTCAGAAAAGATGTGTGGTATGATTTTGATTTTTTTGAATTTGCTAAGACTTGTTTTATGGGCTAGCATGTGTTCTATCCTAGAGACAGTTCCATGCACTGATAAGAAGAATGTGTATTCTTCAAGTCTGGGATGAAAGATTCTGTAGATATCAGTTAGGTCCTTTTGGTCCATGGTGTCGATTAGTTCTGTTATTTCTTTGTTGATTTTTTGTTTGTTTGTTTAGTTGATCTGTCCATTGATGGAAGTGGGGTGTTGAAGGCCCTGATTATTATTGTGTTGGAGGTCTGTGTTTCCTTTTTTCTAATTTTTTTTTTTTTTTGGTCTGAGATACTTCTAAAGATTTGTCTTCTAGCCCAAATAGTCTTTCTTCTGCCTCACCAAGTCTGTTGTTAAGGCTTTCCACCATATTTTTTATTTAACATGTTGAATTCTTCATTTCTGATATTTCAGTTTGATTTTTCTTCAAAAATCTCAATTTCATGGGAAAATTTTTCTTCAATATTATGTATGGATTTCTTTAATTTGTAAATTTACTTCTCATTGCTTCTGAGTAATCCTATGACCAATCTTTTGAATTCCTTTTCAGGTATTTCCTCATCCCTTTGTCTTCACATTCTAATTGTGAAGTAAATGTTGTGGTCCTTGAGGAAATCACGTTGTCTTCCGTATTCTTGTTTCTTTAATTTCTGCATTTAGTTTTAGGCATTTGTGGAAATGCTTGTTGGTTTTCTTCTCTGATGGTTTTTATCTTAGAACTAGGCTTCTGTGGCTTAGTGGAGTGTCTGCTCTTTCAGTGAATACCCATAGATGTGTGCTGTGTGTGGCCATCAAACTCTGGTCAGTGCTCCAGGATGGGACGAGAATCCAGGGTGACATCCAAGTTGGGCGTCGTGGATCTCCTGTATTGTCAGCAAGGGTACAGAATGAACATGCTTGTTGGCATAATCACAACTTCAGTGACCATAGTTAGCCCACAGTGGGTACAAACCCTATCCATGCTAGTACATGAAACTGCACAAAGGATCTATGTGGTCTTCACTCTGGGTCATCTAGGAACTCTGCCTCTGACACCAGACATAATAATTGCCCAGAGACCCAGCTGTACCCTGCACCCTATCATGCAGTCACAGAACTCCCACAGTGACAGCATGCAAGGCTCCCGTAGTCGTGTGGTGCAAAGATCCAGTCCTCCCTGCAAGCCTGCCCTGTGAGCCTGCCCTGTCCACAGAGAGAGAGATGTTTCCAGAGCCAGCTGCCTGTGGGTGCTCCACCTTGGCATTTGGAGCGATGAAGCCTGTGATATGTTGAGAGGATGGGTGCACCTCACAGTCCCATGTTGGTGCCCAGCCCCGTCAACCCTCCCAGCCAGACTTAAAGCCTGCGGGGAATGTGGATTTTTCCCTCTGGTAAAATCCCTTGGTCACAAGCATACACAGGAGCTGCCACAGCCTCTACTGGTGTCAGAATGGTGCCTTCTCCGGCCAGTTGCCAGGTGCCCTAGTCGGGGGATGGGGAGAAAGAAGTGTGCTTTTATTTCACTGGATTAAGTGGCTACCCTGCTTCCCACTAGGGCTCCAGGCTGGATCCAGAGACAGTGTGGTCTGCAAGGCTCTCTCTCAGGCACCATCGGCAGTGGCACAGGCTGCTGCAGCCGGCTCTCACCTCACCTCCAAAGCTGGTGTATCCTGTGGCTCCCGGCTGCGGGGCTCGTGTGTGGTGTCCACACTCACTGCTGCGCATCCACACCTCCCATGCTGCTCCACGGTGTCCCTCTTCCTTCTGTAGAATTTCCACTGCAAGCTTCTCTCCAGCTCTTCCCCTCGGATGCACTTCCTCCTTTTTTTTTCTGTTTTCCCCTGTTCAAAAGCAGCATATCTTTTTCCTATTCAGTCGTCTTAGACTCCATCTTGTGATTTTTAAATTGCATTTCCTGATAGCTAATGATGTTGAACATCTTCTCATATATATATTTGTTGTTAAATACAGAACCTAGTGAGGCCTCTAGATCTGTCTATCATTTTACAGGAAATACATAAGAAACAATGTAAATTGTATCTTGAGGAAACAATCAGTCTACTGTGGTATATGGGATAATTTCTATTTCTACAACAGATCAATAGCTTGGGGGAGAAAAATGTGTGTGTATAGAGGTGACTCTTACAGAAAACAATATAAAAGAGAACTAAGAAAAATAACCAGATGCACTATGTAGACCTTGTTTGGTTTTGATTTGAACAGACCAACTAGGAAAAAAAAAAATCTTTGAGACATTGGGGAAAGTTGACATATAGACATTACTAAGGAGTTACTGTTAATTTATCTAGAAGTATTAATGGTGTGGTTGTTTAATAATAAATTTTTATCAGGTAGAGATCCATACTGAGTTATTTACATGATACATGATATCAATACCCTTGCAGAAAAAGAACAAGGAAAAAAGAATAGTATAGACTCTAGAGAAAAAAGATTGAGAAAATGTTGATAATTTTTGAAAATATGGGTACTAGTGGGTATATTTTGATATTCTTCTTACTATTGATGATATTTGAAAATTTCCAGGATATAATGTTTGAAGAAATACTTATTGAAATAATTATATTTTTTATTTTAAATATTTGTTTATTAGGGAGGGAAAGTGGGGGTAGGGACAGAGAACAAGCAAGCTTCCATCCACTGTCCAAATGCCCACACTGGGCAGAGCTGGGCAGTGGCCGAAGCCAGGAACAGGAAGTGTAATCCAAGTCTCCTGCGTGTGGGGAAGAAATCCAGTTACTTGAGCCATCAAGTAACTTCAACAAGTAAATTCATCCTTCATGAAAAAAATTGACTCTGGAGAATCAATGAAGTTATTTTGTTTGTTTAGGCAGAAGAAAACAAGAGATTGAGGAAACTCCAGCTTGAACAAGAAGAAAAGTTGGCTACAGAATTGGCAAAACTAAAACATGAAAGTCTAAAGGATGAGAAGATGAGGCAACAAGTAAGAGAAAACAGGTGTGTTGGATTCTGTAGGGTTCACTGACTTATTTTATATCTTTAAACTTTTATGTAATTCTTAGCTCCTGAAAGTGAACTTTCTTTGTTTATATTATTACATTTGGTTAATATTTTCCCTGGAAATAATTATTGCTTTGAAAAGAACTGTATTTATAAATGTGTTAGTAATAAATAAGTATCAATAACCCCCCTTCTTTCCTTTAAACACTTATTTTTAAATGACCTCTTTAAAAAAAAAAGAAATCTTAATGGAATCTTAGTCTTAAGAGACACTTTAGGGCAAAATTAATTTTTTTTTTAAACAGGCAGAGTTAGTGAGAGAGAGAGAGAGAGAGAGAGACAGAGAGAAAGGTCTTCCTTTTTCTGTTGGTTCACCCCCGCAAGTGGCTGCTATGGCCGGCGCGTTGCGGCCAGCGCGCTGTGCTGATCCGAAGCCAGGAGCCAGGTGCCTCTTCCCTGTCTGCCATGCGGGTACAGGGGCCAAGCACTTGGGCCATCCTCCACTGCACTCCCGGGCCACAGCAGAGAGCTGGCCTGGAAGAGGGGTAACCGGGACAGAACCCGGCGCCCTGACTGGGACTAGAACCTGGGGTGCCAGCGCAGCAGGCCGAGGATTAGCCTATTGAGCCACGGCACCAGCCTAGGGCAAAATTAATTTAATTTCATTTCCTACATAAACTTCCAACACCGTTGATGGAAAGTGCCTGTTCAGCCTGTGTTTCCACCCTTGTAGTAACTCCAGTGGGGCTTTTTTGTTGTTGTTGAGCCCTAACTTTAAACTGTTCCCTACATTGATTTAAAATTAATTTCTCTGTAGCTTCCATGCATTTGTTTTCTTTAGGACATCCTTTCCTAACTAAAAACCCACTATGTGCTTTCTTCTGTAAGTTAAATATCGTTTGTTTCTTATACAAAACAGCTTCTAGCTTACCATCCTGGTTTCTTCTTCTTCTTCTTCTTCTTCTTCTTTTTTTTTTTTTTTTTTTGGACAGGCAGAGACAGACAGTGGGAGAGAGAGAGACAGACAGAGAGAAAGGTCTTCCTTTTCCATTGGTTCACCCCCCAAGTGGCCGCTACAGCCGGCAAGTTGCGCTGGCACGCTGTGCCGATCCGGAGCCAGGAGCCAGGTGCTTCTCCTGGTCTCCCATGCGGGTGCAGGGCCCAAGGACCTGGGCCATCCTCCACTGCACTCCCGGGCCACTGCAGAGAGCTGGCCTGGAAGAGGAGCAACCGGAACAGAACCGGTGCCCCAACCGGGACTAGAACCCAGGGTACTGGCGTCACAGGTGGAGGATTAGCCTAGTGAGTCACGGTGCCGGCCCCTGGTTTCTTCTTTACATGCTGCTTAGATTGTTGTTGTTCTTTAACAAAATATTAAGTATTATGTATAATACTCCTGGAAGATATCTCAAATGGAAGGATTAATAATATTGTTCTAGAATATGCTTATTTTTAATTTAAAATTTTTGTCTTTGTACAAAATACTTTTATATAAAATACATTTTATATTTTTACATTTATATTTATTTTTAGTTTTATTTGTTTGAAAAGCAGAGAGAAAGAGACAGAGATCTTCCTGAAATAGCTAAGGCTGGGCCAGGCCAAAGCCAAGGGTCTGAAGCTCCATGTGGATCTCCCATGTGGGTGGCAGAGACACAGCCTTGAGCCATCTTCTGCTGCTTCCTAAAGTGTGCATTCCTTTTTTTTTTTTTTTTTTTTTAGATTTTAGATTTATTTTATTTATTTGAAAGACAGAGTTAGAGAGAGGTAGAGACAGAGAGAAAAAGAGAGAGAGAGAGGGGTCTTCCATCTGCTGCTTCACTCCCTAAATGGCCACAATGGCCAGAGTGAGCCAATCCGAAGCCAGGAGCTTCTTCCAGGTCTCCCATGGACCCAAGGACTTGGGCCGTCTTCTGCTTCTTTCGTAGGCAATAGCAGAGAGCTGGATTGGAAGTGGATCAGCCCAAACTCAAACTGGTGCCCATATGGGATGCCAGCACTGCAGGCCAGTAGTTTAATCCACTGCACTACAGCGCCGGCCCCAGGGCATGCATTCTTAGCAAACTGGATTGGAGGTGGAGTAGCTGGGATTCTAGCCAGGCATTCCAGAATGGATGCAGCTGTCCCAAGCAGTGACTTAAACATTGCATCAAATCCCACCCTTGGAATATATTTCTTAATGCTGCCTAAGATAAAATTACCTTTCCTTTGATTTATTTTTAAAATTAATTTGTTGTTTATTTGAAAATCAGGGTGAGAGACAGAGATGGGGAGACCTTCCACTCACTCATTCATTCTTCAAATGACCACAACAGCCAAAGCTGGGCCAAGGTGAAGCCAGGAGGCAGGAACTCCATCCTGGTCTCCCACATGAGAGGCAGGGCCCCAAGCATTTGGGTCATTATCTTCTGCCTCACTAGGCTAATCTTCCTCCTGAGGCACCGGCACCCTCGGTTCTAGTCCCAGTTGGGGCACCAGTTCTTTCCGGGTTGCTCCTCTTCCAGTCCAGCTCTCTGCTATGGCCCGGGAAGGCAGTGGAGGATGGCCCAAGTGCTTGGGCCCTGCACCCGCAAGGGAGACTAGGAGGAGGCACCTGGCTCCTGGCTTCGGATCAGCGCAGCACACCTGCTATAGCAGCCATTTGGGGGGTGAACCAACGGAAGGAAAACCTTTCTCTCTGTCTCTCTTTCTCCCACTGTCTAACTCTGCCTGTCTAAAAAAAAAAAAAAAAAAAAGTTATGGACTCAACGTGGACTCAAACTGGTGCTTTAATATGGGATGACAGCACAGCAGGCAGCTGCTTAACCTGCTGTACCACAATGCTGGCCCTTCAAATTATTTTTTAGGTGCAACCATGCTACCCTGTTGATAAAAACCCATGACCAGGTTCAGTGTTGTGGCAACGTGGGGTTAGACTACTGGCTTCTAACTTTAACCTGGCCCATCCCTGGCATTCAGGCATTTGGGGAATGAAGTGGAAGATGGAAGATACATGTGTGTGTGTGTGTATGTCTGTGTATCTGTGTATGTGTCTCCCTCTCGGTCATTCTTTTAAACATATAGATAGGGGCCGGCACTGTGGTGCAGTAGGTTAATCCTCCGCTTGTGGCGCCATAATCCCATATGGGCGCCGGTTCTACTCCTGGCTGCTCTTCTTCCAATCCAGCTCTCTGCTGTGGCCTGGGAAAGCAGTAGAAGATGGCCCAAGTCCTTGGGCCCCTGCACCCGTGTGGGAAACCCGGGTTTCCCTGGAGCAAAGGCTCCAGCCTTTGCTGCCATTTGGGGAGTGAACCAGTGGATGGAAGACCTTTCTGTCTCTCTCTCTCACTGTAACTCTACCTGTCAATAAAATCAAATAAAATATTAAAAAAAAAAACCAAAGAGATAAATTTTTTTAAAAAAGGACCAACTAAATGCCCATCTTATACTTTCCTAGCTGAATATGTTGGAAATTTACTTTGATAGTTACATTTTATCCTAATTGAATAGGACTTCTGTAGAAATTATGGTGAACTTTGGGCGTTTTGAGGCATTAAGTTATATGTTTGACAAATGTACCCATGTACATTTTTCTGGGTTGACAATGTTAATCAAATTCTCTAAGAAATTTCTTAGAAGAAAATTAAAATTATTGCTGCTATCTGCATTTTATTCTATCGATATTATTAACTATATATATATATATATATATATATATATATATTCTTTCTTTTTGGATTTGTATTATCCAGTCATTATTAGCTGTTACTCATTGTTTTATATCATCTGAAGTTGAAACACCCCATTTAATGAGCTCTTATATATGAAATAAATATTTCATTATGTCTTTTTGTAATTAAATAAGATAGCTTTCCACCAGGCTAGCTGATTTATACAAATGTTCCTTCTGAGAACAGAGTCTGGAGAAATTATTAAAAATAAAGTCTGGGAGGGGAAGTGAGCCTGGCACTTGTAGCTGCATTTCTTCTGGAAGTTTCTGCTGATTAAAAAGCATGGCTGGGGGGCCAGCGAGGTGGCGCACTAGGTTAATCCTCCACCTGCGGTGCCGGCATCCCATATGGGTACTGGGTTCTAGCCCTGGATACTCTTCTTCCAGTCCAGCTCTCTGCTGTGGCCCGAGAAGGCAGTGGAGGATTGCCCAAGTGCTTGGGCCCTGCCCCCGCGTGGGAGACCAGGAGGAAGCACCTGGCTCCTGGCTTCAGATTGGTGTAGCTCCGGCAGTGTGGCCATTTGGGGAGTGACCAATGGAAGGAAGACCTTTTTCTCTGTATGTCTCTCTCACTGTCTGTAACTCTACCTGTCAAACAAATAAATAAAAATCTGTGGCACAGCGGGTAAACACCCTGGCCTGAAGTGCCGGATTCCCATATGAGCCCTGGTTCAAGGCCCGGCTGCTCCACTTCTGATCCAGCTCTCTGCTATGGCCTGGGAAAGCAGTAGAAGATGGCCCAAGTCCTTGGGCCCCTGCACCTGTGAGGGAGACCCAAAAGAAGCTCCTGGCTCTTGGCTTCGGACAAGCCCAACTCTGGCCACTGCAGCCATCTAGGGAGTGAACCAGCAGATGGAAGACCTCTCTCTCTCTGTCTCTGTCTCTGTCTCTGTCTCTGTCTCTACCTCTCTTTGTAACTCTGTCTTTCAAACAAAAAAATCTTTTTTTTTTTTTAAAAAAAAAGCATGGCTGAGAGTTAAACAAAGTACAGCTTGGCTGATAAGTACACGACAGTGTGGTCAGCAGCATTCTGCACACTGTACGTGTAGGATTTGTGTCTTTTATACACAGGGGTATTCAAAAAGTTTGCTGAAAAATAGAATAAAAGATAAGTATAGTTGGGTGTGAGACATTTTTGAAATCCATATGTAGGGTCTGGCGCTGTGGCATAGCGGGTAAAGCTGCAGTCTGCAGTGCCAGCATCCCACATGGGTGCCAGTTCATTTCCTGGCTGCTCCACTTCCAGTCCAGTTCCCTGCTAATGGTCTGGGAAAAGTGGTGGAGGATT